AACTGGGAAAATAGCTTTGAAATCCTGAGGGGAGATGACTTGGAATCCCTAATTCCGTTTTTAGCTCTAGTGGCCTCCACGAGTGAGAACCAATACATTTCGGAAATGCAGAGACAAACATTTTGAAAGAGATTCCTTCAGGAGGACTAACAGGAGAGCGTAGGATACAAGAAATGCCGATAAGCAAAGAAGCCAACACACTCAGGGTTGAGTCTAAATAGTTAAAAATTGTTCTGTGAAGCATAAGGAATGTGTTAGTAATAATAACAGCAGCAACTTTGAGGAATTATTGGATATTTCTGTAAATCTCTGAAGAGGGACAGAGGAAAGCAGACGTCTTTGTTTGGGGTTGGCGGACTTTTCGGTGGTAACAGGCTGGGGCTTTGCGGGCAGTGCTGTCCCCTTGCGCCTGTCCCCTCTGCCGCCGCAGCATGGAAGCAGCCGTAGATGATACACATACGCAAATGAGTGTGGCTAAGTTTTCATCAGACTTTGTCTGTGAACAATAAAACTTGATTTCACATAACTTTCACATAGTTCAAAATATTCACCTTAATTTGTGGGCCAAAGAAACTGAGTGGATAATGTGGTGGATTTGGTTTGTGCTTTGCTGGCCTCTGCACCACAGAACAAAGGAAGGGGGTAAAGAAAATGTCATTTGAACGAAACACAGAAGGGGAGAAAGGTGGCCAAAAACCATAAAGAAGTCTAACAAATAGGAAACAAAAAAAGTCAGTAAAAGAAAAAGAAACAGTTCTAGTAAAATGAATGGACTAAACTTTTTCGCTAAAGTCAGACTCTCAGATGGGACATATTGTAGATAATACTAGGATACCAGGTCATTCCATAGCTGCATGGTAGGACTGTGCTTCTTAAAACGTGGTCTGTGTAACAGCGCCAGTTAGCAAACTGTTACAAGTCCACCGTAAGTACAGAACTAGAGTAGCTGGAAACTTCTGTAGTATTGTGACACTGTCACAACTTCCTGTGTCATCGTCTTTCTGATAATTTATTGTAGCTTACAGGACTGTCAGTCAGTAATAGTTTGAGAATTTAAAACAACTCGTGTGAGAAGCACTCTCAGAATACAACTCAGATATTAAAAAATAGATCTATATTTATAGACATGTTAAATGGAAAAAAGCAAATAATAGAACAGTGTAATGGTATGATTCATTGTATTTTTTAAAAACCGCCAATCATGTATGTAACAGATTTTGAAATATGGAACAATTCACATCCAGTTGTTAACCAGGATTACAAAAGAGAGATGATGTTGGTGTGTTGGGGTTGAAGGGCAGGGAGATAAGAGAGTGCTTCCGTGTTCTAGTCCATACACTTCACCGCACTGTTTTCACCTACGGTGCAGTGTAATGTCTTACTTAAATTAATAACCTCTGGGTCTTTTCAATAAGTGGTATTGTCAATTGAATATCCATGTGGAAAACAAGGACCTTTACCTACCTTACACAATATACAGAAATTAATTTGAGATGATCATAAACCAAAATGCGAAAGCTAAAACAGTAAAGCTCCTAGGAGAATACCTGGGGTAATGTCTTTATGAATTTGAAGTGGACAAAGATTTCTTAAATGGAATACGAAAAGGACCAAGCACAATGGAAAAGATTTATATATTGGGTTTCATTAATACCGAGTGTTAGGTTCATAACAAGATACCATTAAGGGAAAGAAAATGCAAGCTACAGGTTGAAGAAGATATTTAATATGTTCAATATATGTGAAACCTAAAATTACCTATTTCCTGTGTATGTATGTGTCTCATGAAGAACTTTGTATCCTACAAGGTAATAAAAGACAGTTCCATTAAAAATGGGCAAAAAGTTTGAAGAAGCACTTCAAAAAGAAGATAGTCAGATGGCCAATTTGCAATGGAAATGGTCTCAACATCATTAATCATAAGGGAAATGCAAATGAAAACTTCTGAACCTGGATCAGAATGGCTAAAACTAACAGGACTCATAAGACCTAGTGTTGGTGAGGCTACCAGAAGAGCAATTAGAAGTCTCATACATTGCTGGTGGGAGTGTCAGTGAGTAGAGTTACTTTGGGAAATGTGTCGTCTGCCAAAGCTGGAAATTTTATGATGCAGTAGCTAGCTCTACTCCTGAGTATTCACTCTATACAATTGAATGCTTGTGGTCAGCAAGAGTGCTATGAGAATGTCTGTATAAACTCTGTTCTTCATATGTCAGAATCTTTCCATCAAGAGTATAAGTTGTAATATATTCATGTATTTAACTACCACAAAGCAATGCAGAGGAGGAAATACTGCTACACATAACATAATGTGGATGAATCTCATCGACACAATATTGAACCAAAGACAAAAGAATATCTGCTGCGTGATTTCACTTTTGTGATTTATGGGGAAAGAGGAGAATAATGGTTTCCTGTGCTGGGGTGGGGTGGCATTGATTGGCAGAGGGCACATAAGAGCATTCTGGGATGCCAGAAAGGTTCTAATCTGGATGGCGGCCACATAGATACATGTAACAATTTATTAAGCTCTGCACCTACACACTTAGTATACGTGTTGTTTATTGTCACACCTCAGTGAAAATGTAAAAAGGAACCCAAAGCCAGCCAACCTATTCTCTGTCCTCTGATTTGAAAACTGTCATTATCTTATACCAAATTTCTCACATATTCAAGGGCCTTCTTCTAGGTCTTGCCTTCTTTTTTAGGTGTCTCTTTTTGCAGATATACTGTTCTGAATTGATCATTGTTGCTTTGTATACATTTAGTGAATACCTTTAATAGTGTGAATCTTTTCCTACTATTCTTCTCTAAAATTATCTTGGCCATTCTCACCTCTTTGTTATTACAGACAATCTTTAGGATCAACTAGCCAAATTCTCACACACCCTCATGCCACTGGAATTCGATTGTAATTACATGAAACTAGTAAATTATAAATTTGGAGGTCATTGGCATGTGGGTTGAGTTCAGAACCCCTGTACATCCCAGTTTCTGCCCGGTTCTGTAGTTGTCTTCATGTGATGTGTGCAGGTTTTGGGTTTTTTACATTTTTATTTTGCTATTGTGAATGGAATCTTTGTTACATTTTTAGGTTTCTTGATACAGTATCCTTTGTATTATTGGAACTTCTTAATCATAATACTAGTCACTATTATTTATTGAGTACTCTGTGCTAAATAATCTTTCTTACTTCATGTAATAGTGTCAGGTAAATACTGTTACAACATTAGGCTAATTTTTACATTTGGGGTCAGTGAGGGACAAAGACTTCGGGCTGAACAGCTGGCTTCTGGTGGGGTCGTGACTCCAACCCAGGCAACCTCACGCCAGAGCTGCCCTGCCTGCAAACACTGCACTGTTGGCCTGGGTGTCCGAGGATGGGGGAGAGCCGTGCAGGATGGTTGGTGTGGGGTCAGGTCCAGTGCTGATAGATGTGACTGGCAGACGGTGGGTGAGCAGTGAGAGTGGATGCATAACAGCAACACCTATACTAAAGTGGATTTTTTGGTATATGCTTATTTATATTTGTAGGAATCTGTATTCTAGTTTGAACTTATTCAAACCAAATAAAGTTCTGTAGTTTTCTAATCACTCAGAGATGATTTGATAATTTTATGTATTTTCAGATGCTGCTATATTCACAGAATGCTGATAGCTCTTGTTTTAGTTGCGTTGTCTGTAAGAAACAATTGCTCACCCCCGTGAGCTGAAATAGTGGGAGATCGTTGTAAAGACACACTGGGTATTTAGGGGGATGGACTCTGAGCAACGTGTAAGAGGTGGTTCCACAGACTGGCCGGTGCTTGTGGAGACTAAAACTGTCTTTTGTTCGCAGTCAAAAGCAGCGTTAGGCACCTCAGCTGCAAGATTGTTTTTTTAAGCTTTTTACTACAGTGTACTATCTCTGTCTCGCCTCAGCTGCTGCTGTCTCTGTTACATGCTTTTTCGTCTGTCCATTTGCATTTATATAAATTGCCAACTTGATGTCTCCATGATCCCAGGTAGAATTTCTGAGAACATTTAATTGGCTAAGATAGTTACTGTGTTTGGGCCATGCATTTCACGCCCCGTAGACTATGGACTAGACTGCTGATTGGCTGACTTAAGACAGGTGTTCACTGCAGCAGTTCTGGTCATTTCTGGCCAGGGAGGGATGGCTGCTTGGATAAAACATGGCTCTCTTAGGGACTACCTCTTTGGAGACAAGATTGATTTGCCCTAGAGAAAGGGAATGCGGTCACAGCCTATACTCTGGCTAACATGTTTATAGCCACTGCACGTTTTCCCTTTTAAATAAAATCTAAAGAAGTGGCTAGAATTGAAAATAGCATTTGGATTTATAGTGGAATAGTACAGAAAGGAAATAGTAAAACATGCTCAACTGTTCTCACTGGAGAACAGTCCTTTGCTTACTGCTTTATAAGCCTGACAACACATAGTCTTCTGTCTCTTACAGGTAGCTTGGTTAAAGTGCCTGTTTAATTGGGATTGTAAAAACGTCAGATGAGTTATTGGTAAATGTTAGGGAATTTTTTTTTATTTTTTTAAAAAGATTTTTATTTATTTATTTTTAGAGAGAGGGGAAGGGAGAGAAACATCAGTGTGTGGTCGCCTCTCATGCACCCCCAACTGGCAACCTAGCAGGGAACCCAGGCATGTGCCCTGCCTGGGAATCGAATCAGTGACCCTTTGGTTCACAGGCTGGTCCTCAATCCACTGAGCCACAGAAGCCAGGGCTCTTTGATATTTTAATAGCTAGACTTGGCTTGAAAGAGGCTTTTGAGAATTTTGTAAACCCCAGAATTTAGCAAACTCCTTTAAGAATATTCTCTGGTATATTGCTTTTAACCCAAGATCAGGGCTACTTTAAGCTATATTATGAGATTTTTATTATGATGGTAAATCATTCATAGTAAAATGAAAACACTAAAATGTTGTATTCAATAATAGGATATTGGAGTAAAACTGTGTGTAAATACTTGTTAAATTGATCCTAGGTTGGGCCATGCAGGCTGCTGCCTATATCTTCATTCACAGGAAATGGAAGGATGACAAGAGCCACTTTGAAGACATGATCGATTACTTCTGTGACATCCGTGAACCACTTCAACTCCTCATATTCCCAGAAGGGACTGATCTCACGGGTAAGGTAACCTGGGTTTGGATCACAGAATTCTTAAAAATGAAGGAGCTCAGAAATCATCTAGTCTAAACTTATTTCTTAGATGAAGTTACTGAATACTAACAAGATTAATGTCCCACTCCCAAGGACACTCAGTTAATCAGTAGCACATTAGTTACTGATTAACTGGTCACTCAGTTACTGATTGACTGGTCGTTAGTTACTGATTAACTGGTCACTCAGTTCATCAGAACCCAGTAGCACATTGGATTCTGGAGACCAGAACCCAACACTCCTGGTCTCCAACCCACAAAATCTATGCTGGGCAACCCTGAGAGATCATTACTTTTTTTTTTTTTTGCTTGCCATCCTAGACCTTTGTATTTTGAGTCTCAGTATGTATGTTAATTATCAGCTTTCTGAAAATTTGTGTGGAACCACAAAAGCTCTGAATAGCCAAAGCAATTTTGAGAAAGAAGAACCTTCTCTCTGTACTTTATATTTTCTGATTTCTTCCCAGGTACATATTCACCTATTAGACCTGTTTTCCTCAATTTCTTCCTTATTAGAAAAGCACCGGATAGCCTCATTTATTATTGATTTAAGTTAATATATTGCCTTTCTCCTGGTATTTTAAAGCCTTATCTTTATTATAAGCAAGACAGGCTCTGTCCTTTCTCAAGAATACTAGCCATAATTAAGTTGTGGAGGAGACAGAGAAGGACACAGGATTTTCGACCTCCCAAGATATTAAACTGTCATGGTTTGCCGTGCGTAATGTGCTGTGGGGGAGCTTTGCCCACAGAGCCCCCCCCCTCTGCCACAGATGAGAATATGTCTTCCAAGACATGATGTGCTTGGGGAGGAAAGGTGGCTGAACTATATCAGAGGAGAAGGGCCAGGAGCCTGTTCCTCAGTGGGCTTTGATTGGGTTCAGTTTGCACAGGAATGCAGGTAAAGCTCATCAATCATTGTCAGGCAGTAATGATCAAACCAGGTCCATCAGATAACATACCAAGAATTACCAGGGCTTATTCTGAGTCAGGGTCAATTAGCTAAAGGGCTATAAAACTTTGGGAAACAAACTCCTTTCCTGCTTGGACCCTTATCAGAAAATTGAGGGCATTCTTAGCAAAGCAGGTTTCACAAGATTTAATGCATTCTTTCTTAGGCCTGATTGGCCCGGGGAACTGCCCATTCCTGCCCAGGGCTGCACCCACCTCTGGCATTGTTTTAGGCTTAAGTCAGGCAGGGGAAGTAAGGCAGCCAAGAGATTAGGATGCTTCTCCCAGACAGAAAGAGGACTCGGGCTATGTCAAAGCCAAGGGCTGAGGGTCCATCACCCCTTTTTTCTATAGCCTCCCAAGTCCTTCCCTGACGGCCCCTTTGTGACTGCACCTGTCTTATGTCATCCCTCCCTTGAGGAATCTTACCCGTCATTGGCCAACTGGTCATTAGCCCAGGGCCAAGCAGGGTGAATTAAAAGGGGGCAGAGGCAGCCCCCCTGCCAAGGAGATAAGCTTTGTCTCCTTAGTGGCTTATGGTCCCAAAGTCTCTCTCAGCCCTAGCCATGGCCGGGTTACAGCTTCTGAAACCAGGCAGGGCAGTTTTCAGCAATGTGCACCCATGTTTTTGGCCAAAACTTTCAGGGAAAAATATTTTAATTTTATAATTCAGTTTTTTATTTATATATATTTAGAAACAAAGCTGATTATCATATTCCAGGGTATTATTATATATACAGGTATTGCTTTCTAGAGTTATTCTTTTAACACAAAAGTATAAATAAAAGAATTTAAAAAATATATATATATATGTATATATACACGGAATTAGTATTATCTATATATAATGTGCATACTTATTTTTCCCTCAGAAATTTGGGCAAAAATTGAGCATTATATAGTAGATAGGCCAAGAATGCCATTGGATTTCAAGGAATTCTTTAGATTAAAAACAAAATAGAGTCTTTCATTCTTGCTAAATTAATATTCTTCACAAGTTTTTAAACTGTGGGTGAGTTTTGTAGATGAAACCTTCAGTTGTAGTTTAGGGTTTAGGGCAGATTGAGGAAGAGCTGTGGTGGAACATGGGTAGGGGTGGGGGAGCAAGCTTGCAGGAGAAGTTCTGTAGAATTCTTAGACTCAGAAAAGCAAAATTTAAAAACTTTTTTTACTTCAAGAAAGAGCAGAATTTGAAAAGGATCTTGTGGGTGAGACAGACTGAAGTGGGACAGATCTGAAATCTAATGATCACACAGTGTGGAGAGGTGGACTGTGAACTTGTCTTTTGAATCCTCAATACCATATACAGGCCACTAAGAGCCACTAAGAGGGTACCACTTAGAGTTTAAGAGAGGAGAATGTGTAAACGAGCAAACTGATTCACTCTCTGGACATAGCGGTATATGGAGCCAGCACCAAAGAGAGTGTAATGGAAATACAAATTACACAACTGTTTAAGTAATTGTGTGGGTGACTAGGCCATAGTGTGTGAATGCGGGAACTCAAAGTACTTCGGGAAACACTGTTAGCAAGGAGGAGATCTTTGACTCATTTATTGCAGATGGAACTGAGTCAGATGAATTATGGCGATTTTAATGTAACCAGCATTGTATACTAAAATGTATGCTTACTGTATACTATATGCTTGATTTTTATGGTTAAAATTCTAGAAGTAGTTGGTCACTAATGGATAATATTGTCTGCATGTTGTTGAAGCTTAGAAATATAACTTGATTGATCACCAGAGCTAACCTGTCATTGGGAAATTAAAATGAACAGAGCCATATTTAAATTCTGTAATACTTAGAAAGTATAGTACATAAACTTGGATATTGAAATAGCAGCTATATTAGTGTGTGATTTACTGAAATGATAGGTTAATTTATATTTGTGAATGCCATAATGCGCACTAAGTAAGCAGTGGCACTTTTGGGGGTTATTTAGTAATTAGAAGCTAATGGGGTAAAAGTTCGCAGATTGCTGCTACTTTTGTTGTATTGTTCTTAGAATTTTCATGCATTAGACCTTCAGAGCCAAACACATATATTTAAAACTTTTTTCACTCTGTTTTTTCTCGTGTCTTTTTTAGGTGATGAACTTAATTAACATCTAGTTGCATATTTTCAGGGTCCAGAGTACTCACCATTACGTGATGTAGCTGCATATTTTCTAAGTTAAAATGGCATGTACAAACTATTTGCCAAATAGAGAAAACAGAGCAATCCTGAAGCTTTAAAAAGCTTTTAAAAAACATAGCATTATGCAGATGGTTTAAAGTTGGGATAAAAATGTTTTTAAATAGGCTACCAATATACTTTCAATTTCGAAAAAGCGTCTGTTAATTTGAAGGGTTGTTTAAATTATTTTTTATTTTTTAAAGATTTTATTTATTTATTTTTTTAGAGATAGGGGAAGGGAGGGAGCAAAAGAGCAAGAGAAACATCAGTGAAAGAGAGAAAAATGATTGGTTGCTTCTCGTATGTACCCCAGCTGGAAACAGAACGTGCAACTCAGGCCTGTGCCCTGACTGGGAATTGAACAAGCAGCCTTTGGCTTTGCAGGACGGTGTCCAACCAACTGAAGCCACACTGGTCAGGGCCAAAGGTGTTTTTAGTTAACCACAGTTAACTCTAAATTTGGTCTTTTAAGGCCAAAGAAAGTTTTGTAATCCTCTAAGTTCTGAACCCAGCTTGCTTACGTACTTTCAGATAGGTATATTTAAATGTCATTTTACATATATTCTGTCTTTAAATGTTATTGTTAGTTGTAACTTTTTTCTCGCTTATGGAGGTAATTTATATTAATTTGGGGAAATTTAGAAGTATAGGAGTACAAGAACTAGTCTAATCCTACTGCCCATAAAAAACCTGTTCTAATTTTACTCTGTTGCTTTTGTGTCTTTTGGTCACACATACATACATACACATGTGTGCACATACATATAGGCATGTGTATGGCACATAAACACACGCATACATCTTTAAACAGAATTGGAAAATTAGAATTATAGTTTTTCTTGTACTTGTAATTTCTCACATTATATTCTTTGAAAACATGATTTAAAGATTGGGTAGGTTTTTATTTTTCATTATATTGGTTATTGGTTAGGGTTGTCTTGAAAAACAACAAAAGGGTGTATGTGGGGGGGGTGGGGAGAGAGAGGCGAGGCCTACTCACATTATGGAGGGTAATCTGCTTTACTTGAAGTCTACTGATGTAAATACTAATCTCATCAGAAATACCTTCACAGAAGTATCTGGAATAACATTTAGCCAATTTGACACATAAAATTTACCATCACAATTGGCATACCATAATTCTGGGTTCTGTTTCTCTGATTTGAAAAGATTTTCTAGGTTTTAACAATTATAACATTAAATTGTTAATGGGCGGTTAATCACCCTTGTACATAAAACTTCTTTGTTTAGTGTATAAGTGCCTGGAACTTCATATACAAAACAAAGCCCTACTTTTATGAAGCCTAAACTCTATGAGGAAAAATAGATAAAAGACACATAAGTTAATGAAACTGTGCCCAGCGTTCATAAGTGCTGTGCACAAAGGTAAAGATGAGGAGGGGTAACGGAAGAGGGGGACACAGGGTGCTGTTACAGGGACGCGGGGTTACGGAAAGCCCTGTAAGTTTCTAGTTAAGCAGAGACTTAATGAACAGAGTGGAAAACCATGCAGGTATTTGGGTAGAAGGCATTCTGGGTGGAGGGAAGAACAGATGCACAGACCCTTAGGTGGGAACATGCCTGACTTGTTGAGAACAGCGAAGTGGCCGGTTGGCCCGTTGGAGTGGAAGGAGCGCCGGCCTTGGAGTGTTACAGGGAGTGGGCTGACAAGACAGGAGACTGTGGGCAGAAAGTGGGGTATTTGTGTAGTTACCAGTCACCACAGAGTCCAGGGGTGGATAAGTGAGTTGGGCGTGGAGGGAAAAGCCTGCATCTCCATCTGGCTGTCTCCCATCATTTCTGCCTTTCCGCATTGTGGCTGTGTTTTAGAGATGCCTGGACTGGCATACACATTCCACAGCAGGTTTACTTCAGTCTTCAGTTCCATAAAGTCAGCGATGAGCTGGACGAGCAACCTGAAGAGCAGTCAAACACTCATCTCTTAGTGTCCCGGGGCTTCCTCGTCCTGTGTCAGGTCCTGTCCGCCCTCGGTAAAGGACTGCTTTGTACTCCCGGGCCGGGTATTCTCCTCAAATGAATGTGAAAGGAGCTTGTTACTTTTTATGTGTAGAGCCTTTACTCTGACTTGCTGGGGATCTGTGGGCATTTAGTTCTTTGACTCAGTTCCTCCCTTGTAATAGTAATAAAAAAGTAACCTCTTTTATAGGAGTGTTCTTTGAATATTTTGAAGCCATCTGTGGTTTTTTTGAGGTTTTGAGGGTTCCAGGGTCTTAAATTTACTCCTAGGAAAGCTGTGTTTATATAAATATATGTGTCTTTTTCTTGCGACTTAGAGTAGTCTATAAATTTCAGGATGCAGCTGAGGATTGCATGTTCTAACATCTGCTGTCATCAAAAGCTATTTCATGATCTCCCCCAGGGGTTGAGGCCAGATTTCTGAACACTTTACATTTTCCAAATATATTTGCTGAGTAATGGGTTTGGTTCTTCTTGGAACTTATAAACTTACCTCATGGAATGGAAAAAGAAGTTTTTGCCAAAATTTGGAACATATACTTGACTTTGTAACTCTGCTCAGCCAAACCATGTTCAGATGTCTGTACATGATGTGCTAATCACGGGCCCGATCTGCTGTGGCGTGGTTTTGGTTGGTGATGTTAGCCTGCTCTGTGCCTGGGCAAGGGAGATACTTCACTTTGCATTGAAGCCCTAAATTACCGGGTTAAAGAAAATGTTGATCTGATATATATGGCAAATTACTAGTTATTTCTTCTGGAGGTATAAATCTCCTTATGTTTTATACTATTTTAGTTTTATTTTATTGGCATCTTATAGTTAGCATTTAAGTTTTTATTATGTAAAGATTTTATGAAAATTTAGTTTATTAGGAATTTATTTGCATTTTAGTTTTCACTGTGCATTGACTTTTATGAAATCTCTTAAAGAATTTTAAAGATTTGAGTATGAATTTATAAAGCATTATAAAAAGTCTGTTAATACCTCATAAAAAATTTCAAAATCCCAATAAATACATACTCTGAGATCTTTGTTAGGGATTTACATAAATGTTTATATCTTCTTATTTGACTCAGTTTACATACTCAGTAGTTACAGAAAAATTAACTGCCATTTTTATCAAAGAAATTCTGTATTATTTTCTTAGCTCACATTATCTTCCCTTATTTATTGCTTCTGATTTTCTGTTGTTTTGTTTAGAAAACAGCAAGGCTCGGAGTAATGATTTTGCTGAAAAGAATGGACTTCAGAAATATGAGTATGTCTTACATCCAAGAACTACAGGCTTTACTTTTGTGGTAGATCGTCTAAGAGAAGGTAAGCACCCATCTCAAAGTATACTTTTTATATAAGTGGCAAAAATTGCTAAACTTTATATATATATATATATATATATAGCACTTACAAAGCACTTTTTTGTATTTTATCTCAAGAAATGAGAGTCTGTATTTTTATACTAAGTTGACCCCATGCACTAAAATGTTCTGTTATATATTCTTTAGAAATAGAAAAGATGTCTTTATAAAAACAACACTTTTCCCCCTTTTTTGGAATAGACAAAATGATGTATACAGTTAAACAGTCATTGCATTTTTAGATGTTTCTCAAAGCAGCAAAATTGTCCTGAAAGTATCTTATTACTTGCACTCTAATCCTTTATAGCTTAAAAATAGTTTTGCATTTATTGTTCTAGTCACTCCAACAAATGATTCTGGTTGGTAGGAAGGCAGTAATGCCACCTTCCTTTTATAGTTAAATGGAACTGCCATCTAGGGTGGTCAGTACATGTTCGTAGGTCGGGGACAGGACCTTGCTCTCCTCCGAGTCTGTGTCTCAAACTGCCACCCGCCTCCCACTCCCTCCTTCTAGGGCCTTGTCTGTTGAAGAGCCTGTGGGGACAAGGTGGTTCCACTGACGGTATCACACTTGCCACCCACCCAAATGTTTATGTCTTGATATTTTTATTTGATATTTTTAAATGTAAAAGTTTTACATTTTATTATAGCTACAGATTTATATATGTATGTATTCATACACACATGTACATACAAATGAATAGCACATACATCACTGTATTTGAAGAGGAAACATGCTGAAGTGTTATTAGTATCACAAGGGAAATTCAAAACCCAAAGTCACCTAGCACAAGAATAATCCACAAAGCTGATCATTCCTAACATTATGTAAGTATAAAGTTCTTTCTTCTTTCTCTAAATGGCATTATTGTTTCATTAGGGTTTAATGTGCTTTAAGATACTAAGTACATTATAACCTTAGTTAATGAACCTTGCCAAGATGAAGCATGGTTATAACTAAGTGCCCACAATTTTAGAGAAATATAGTCAGTCCAAAATTACATTACAAATTGAAAATGTCGTCCCTGTTCTCGTGGCTGGCTTGCTTTTGGAATTCTGTGTTTGTAATGAATGTGAAATGGACTTGGCAGTTGTGTGTGTGTGACGAGTGCGTGCCCGCCCGCCTGTGGCAGCACACGTGTCCTCCGTGCCCGGGACAGGCGTGGGAGGCACAGAGTCGTTGAAGCAGCGAGGCTTCTCGTTTCTCACTGTGGCACCACTTACGGTGGCTTCCCATTCAGAATTCCCCTTCTCATTTAGCAATGTGTTTTTTAATTTCCTTACATCATCTAATACTTCATAGTATTTCATGATTTTATTAAAGGCATTTCTGACATCAGGGAACACATTTATCTATTTACTGGATTTCTCTGTTAACACAAGTGTGCTGTTAGAACACATCCTTGGCTAATAAAAATCTTTCTAGATGTAGGCGGGATAATTGAGAGATCATTTTATAGTGGATAAGGGTATATCTGTAGTTCTGAAATCTGGAAAATATTTTAGTAGAGAACTGATTTGTAACTTTGGAGAATGCGTATTACTTAGTCATCACACAGAGTACTAGTCAGCAACCACAGTGTGCAATTTTTCCTGCCAAAACTGGCATATCTGCCCCCTCCCCCCACTGCCCTTATATCAGTAAAACGAGAAACACAGATGACTATTTGCTTTAGTTAGAAAAGCATAACGGGGCCTCAATACTATAATAGACGTAAGAGATATGATGATGATAACTATTATAGGAACAGCAGTTAACAGTTATTATTTGCTAAATACTAGGCATTATGCTAAATGTTCTGTCAGTCCTCACAACAATCCCTCATAATAGTTTCTACTATTAATATTTAACTTGTAGAGCAAAAATGAAGTGGAAATTGTGGTGAAGCAGCTTGTCGAAGTTATTGGAATATAATTTGACTGAATAGCCGTGTTCTTTTTACTGGAACTTGGTGCCTTTTGTATCTGTAGTGTGATTTTAGTTAATAGAGTACCTTTGCGATAATAGTGATCTGGGTGGTTTTCTTCAGGAAAGATTTTTTAAAAAGAAAAAAAGATACCGGTCACAAGGCAGGTGGTTCTGAAGCTGCCTGAGATGGCGAGGGGAGCAGGCGCAGCCCAAGGACGCATCTGGCAGCGTGGGAGGGCGGCTGTGCTTTAGGAGGGTTGGGGGCAGGGGGACGTCAAGGGAACGGGAAGAACAAAGTGCATCGGGAGTCAGGGGTGAAGGGCGTCTTAGGAGGTCACCTAGGCCAGAATATCCTGTCAGAAAAGAAGGTCCCAGCACCACTTCCCGATCTTTCGGCCCCTGAGATCTGCTTTTGATAATCAATTTGAAATAGAATGATACACCTGAAACCTTTAATTTTATTAACCAATGACACCCCAATACATTCAATAAACATTTTTTTAAAAAGAAGAAAAGAAGCTTGCTGTTAAAACGAATGACTAATAGAAATAAATATACTTAATGGAACCCCGGAGACCACATCCTAAAACCATTTATCATTAAATAACATTGTTACTGCCCACACATAACCGAATTCAGTGGTGTTGACATCGGATAGAACGAACGGGAAAATGAGGAATTTATGACATCGAGAGGTTAAGGATAAAAGGTCTTACTAGGAAGGATTGGATAAGAAAAGAAAAAGCAAAACAAGGAAAGTAGTTTCTGTTCCTCTATTTAGAATATACTTTATTGAGATGAAGAATATTTGGAAAATATACACTCACCCTGAAACAGAAAACCCTTTATAACCACATAGATATGTTGTTCTTGGAGTAATAGCTGCAAAGAGTACAGACCCCACCCCAGCCAAGGGCCTTGCTCCCCATCGTCAGTGCGCTTGCTCTGTGCTCTTCCTAGGTCGTGACCACCCCAAGCTTGTGCAGCGCGCTGCACATAAGAGAGAATCAGTATTCGTTGAGTCGAACATTATTTTCTTTTATCTGAAAAGTAAGATGGCACAGTATCCGAGATCCGCATTTGTCGTGGATGGTTTATTTCACATATACCTCAAATCATAGGGCATTTCAGTATGTGATCATGTAACTTTTTTTCAGTAAGATTAACCCAAACCCAAAAGGAAGTTGTTAACTTAGAGAAAAGAGACCTTTTTGTTGTTTATTATACATTTAATAATCAACTTTTACTGCACCAAAAATTTGTTATATTCATTTCACCTCTGGTGCTTCATAATTTTTTAACAACAGTAGCTTTATTCTTCCTTCATTTTATAGAAATAATGATTTGGTCCAACCATTAATTTGGTTTGCTGTTTTGTAAGCCAATTAATTGTAACCATGCAATAATTACCTTTACCGTGAGGCGGCACAAGTGTGCACATTTGAAACAGGTTGAAATTAGGTTCAAGTAGTTGGGAGTAAAGATAAAACACATGGTACTTGTTTGAAGGTATGTCTTGTTTAAGATTGACCTTGCCCTCAAGAACTTTACTGTCTTCATGGATTGATAATAACACACGTGGGAAAAATCTGAAGACTAATGTAAGACACTATAATTACACACTAACATATGGTCTGTGACATACAGACATGTGGCTGAGTAGTTACAGGCGTGTTCAGTGGAGAGAGATCAGATCGTGTTGAACTACTCGGGTAAGGCTTTCTCAAGCTGAATTTTCCTTAGACCTCAGAGACTATGTGACTGGGTAGGCAAAAAAAAAAACAAAAAAAAACAAGTAAGGCCGAGGGCAGAAAAAGAAGAGTTTAAGAAGGGGCACAGAATTTGGGCCTGTGCAGAGCTGAGCAGTCAGCTGGGCAGAACCAGTCTCGCTGAGCTGAAGGCTTGTGGTGTAGAGTAACATACAACATTTAAGAAGGTTGTGTGGGGCCATCATTGTTGGAAAAACTTAATTCCCCTCCCTGAATAGTCATGTTTTTAGTTTATCCATTTCCAGATCAAGCCACTCAAGCAAGTCAGCTCATGTATTAAGACTAAAACATCATATGCATCTATTTATGGGTTTAGGGTTTGAAATAAATAAAATGGTTTTGAATTTAAAGTAGAACAGTCCATATTTCAATCCATATTTAGTTCATATGCCTAAATTCTAAATATGAAGGTGTGAAGGATACTGTCTTTCCACTAATCTAGGTGACAGAGGGTTAACCACTAAAAGAAAAATAGATTCCTGCTAGGTAAATTGGGTCAGCACATCTGATCAAAATTCTTTGGTCTATATCAAGGGAGAAAGGATTGCTGACTTAACACCCAGATTACAGACGCAGTATCTGATCGTACTGTCTTTGGTGCCCTCATTTTGGTCGACAGTGGTTCCCATCTGCTCTGAAAAAGCTGGCTGGGACCTAAGAAGGCAACGCAGGGCACTGATGATAGACAGCTCAGTCTTCGGCAGCATGGCTAGACCATTTAATTTCTTGAAGTTTCTGCTTTATACACAAGTACCTACTGATAACTCAGTCTGTCTCCTGCCTACAGTGGCTACATGTAGTGGGAAGTGAAGCTGGCCAGCAGCCACCACTCTCTGTGGCTAACACTGCACTCGTCTCAGCTGGTGAGCCTCCCCCAGGATTGCATTTCCGTGATCCTCTCGAACAGCCAGCTTGTTCTAGGAGGCCAGGCCGAAAGGCAGACAAACTGTTGAGTTATTGGGTGCACTAAATGCCGTGTACTCTGACCTTTTCATGTGACTTTTTATTGCTAGAAACTATTTATGAAATAGGATGAGACCTTTCCTTTATGTTAAGAAATGCAATTGTATAGTAGATCTTTGACATTTCTAGAATATTTTGAATATTTTCTGAGACCTTTCACATTTCCCCAAATTTGCAGATACATCTGCTGCATAGTGGTAGACTCTCTTTTCAGGCCATTTTACAAAGAGTGATACTTTTCTCTGTTCCTGGTGATGAACAGAATACAGCCAAACCTAAATGAACTTCGGGTACTGATTAGTGGGAAAGCATACGGATGGA